TGTGTGTGTGTCTGTGTGTCTGTGTCTGTGTCTGTGTGTGTGTGTGCCAGGACATGGAGAACAAGATCCGCTCTACTCTCAACGAGATCTACTTCGGCAAGACCAAGGACATCGTCAACGGCCTGAGGTACGTCACACGACTCAAAACACGACTGCTTCCTGCAGCATCGCAACAACACGTCAACACACCGGTTTTCAATGGCTATGCGCAACAACCGATTCATGAGTGAATGATTCTTTGAATGAACTGACTCGCAAACCAGTCTCAGACTCACTGATTCAGAATCCATCTGCTGAATCACTGAGCTGGTCAACACTTATTGATTCACTCATATCTGAACTCAAAATGAACCATGAAATCTTACAGTACTTCAGACTTTTTTTTTTTTAAGTTTGAATCCATGTCGTTACTTGTTTTCTGATTCAATTCAATTCTGAGTTCTTGGTTCTCAAAATGAATCAAGAACTCCTACAGTTGTACTTGAGATTTGAATCAGTGTCGTTGCACATTTACTGATTCATGCTTTAAATTACACTGGGAATCATCGATTCACATTTTCTTAAACATTATATATATATATATATATATATATAAATTAAAAAAATTATATTAAATATATTTATTTTCTATATTTAAAGTGCACCCTAAATATTTGTCATGATTGCAAAATTCGTAAACCACAAGATGAACGTAATATAAATTAGCTAAAAACATTTAGACCTCCTGAGGTTGACAACGTATGTTTTCTGAAGATTTTATTTTATTTTAATATTCATTTTTAACATTTATTTATTTTTTGGTTTGTTTGTTGGATTTATTTTTGATTGTGTTTTTTAATTTAATTGAATATTTTATTTATTTTAGACTATTTGAGATGCTGTTGTTTATTTCAGTAATTCAGTGAACTGATTCAAACAGTAACTTCTGAGTTTGTGAGTCGTCTTAAATGAATCATTCTCATCAGTGAATCAGACTACACCGCTTGTGTTGCTTATTGCGCACAGCCAGCGAAAAATACTGTATAGACTGATGTGTTTTCCTTCTATGAATCAGAATATTTAAATTTTTACCCAGCTTCCATGTTTCTCATTTGAATGTCCAATACAGTGATGTTTTTTTAAGTCACTTATTATGTTAGCAAATATACTTATTCATATTTTAGTATTTTTGTTTCATTGTATATTCAGATTCATTACAGATTCAGGTTCATTACCGATTCAGATTCATTACCGATTCAGATTCGATTCAGATTCAGTACCGATTCAGATTCATTTCAGATTCATTACCGATTCAGATTCATTACCGATTCAGATTCATTACCGATTCAGATTCAGTACCGATTCAGATTCATTTCAGATTCATTACAGATTCAGATTCATTACCGATTCATTACAGATTCAGATTCATTACCGATTCATTAAAGATTCAGATTCATTACCGATTCAGATTCATTACAGATTCAGATTGATTACCGATTCAGATTCATTTCAGATTCATTACCGATTCAGATTCATTTCAGATTCATTTCAGATTAATTTCGTTCCTTGTTGATTCCCATCATTCCTAGTGTTCTCCCTGCTTTCGTTCTGCTGAGGTTTCCTCATATTTTCACCGTCTGTCTGTCTCTTCACTCGTCTGTCTGTCTGTCTGTCTGTGGTTCTTGGGCTCCAGATCTATCGAGTCTCTCCCTGATAATCAAAAGTACCGTCAGCTGCAGCAGGAGCTCTCTCAGGTTCTGACCCAGCGTCAGATCTACATTGACTAGGGTCAGCTGTTTGTGTGTGTTTGCCTGCAGTGACCTCCTTAACAGACAAACTTAACTGCATGCAGGTGCATTCTGGGTACAGCTCATCAATATTAATGAGTGTTCATAAACCTCCAGTGTGGTTTAAACTGTAGTTTAATACGGTGTTCATGAGGTCGATTCGGTTTTTATTGCACAGTTGTTTTCTCTCAGGGTGTACATGGGTTCTTAAAAAGTCTTCCATTTGGTTTAATCAAATTTAAGGCCATAAAAGGTCTTAAATAGTACAATAACAGTCTTAATTATTATTAAGGACCATAGTGTTTGTTATAGTTTTTATATTATAATATGTTGTAGATGGTTATAAGATGCATATTTTACGCCTTTCGTCTTTTTGAATGAGCAGCTGAACTATTAAGACATAAACATTTCAAAATAAGAGTCCCGGTGTATTTCAGGCTTGTTTATGATCAAAATCCCTCATTATGCATATAATCGTTTTGTTTTTGGTTATTGTTGGTATTTTGGTTCCCATATTCCTCAACTGTTTGAATGAGCAGCTGAAATAGTAAAGTGTATACATTTCAAAATAAAAGTCCTGAGTATCTCAGGCTTGTTTAGGATTAAAAGTCCTTCATTGTGCATAGAATCTTTTCATCCTGGTTATTATTGGTATTTTGGTCACACAATAAACCGTATGAGATTTAAACCATTTAAATTTCTTTGAACTCGTCGTATCAGCAAAATCCAATAACGATGGACCTCTACTTTCTGTGTATTGATTTTAATACATATGTCTTGAGTATTTTGCCCTGTTTTGCAGTTGTAAGTGTGCCTGTTTAATGAAGTAAAAGAATCTGAGATTCCTGATTTATTTTGAGATTGAATGGGTTTGTTCCTGAACAGCATGTGGTGTTAATTTTATTTGATTTAGTTTGATTCAAATTAAGGTCTTTAGTTTGATTTTAAAACTCTCCAGAAACCCTGTTCTCTGTACGATGGCGAATAAAAGTGTGCGACGTTTTGAAACCTGTCTCACTCTCTCTTCCCTCGGTTTTTTTCGTGTTTTTCAGGAGCGTTCAGACGCTGGCGGATAAATCGAAGCAGGAGGCTCTGAAGAACGACCTGATGCAAGTGCTTAGCCAACGCAGCAAACAGCAAAGCTAGAGACGATCACCTGCCCGTCTCTCTCTCTCCGTCTGTCTGTCTCACTCTCTGTCTCTCCACCTCACAGCTGTCTGTCTCCATCTGCGCAAAACAAACGAAAAAGGAGAAAAGGCTACGCTTTTTGTTTTTGTATTTCAGCTCGCGTTTCACTGCACCCGTCTCTCTCTCTCTGGTCTGTAATCATGTAGTATTAAGACAGCGTCTGATTGGCTCTCGGTGACATCATCGCAGTGGGGGGGGGCGGAGCTTTTCTCCCGCCATCAGAAGAACACGTTTTCTCGTAGTCTCACTCGTCACATACGTGCGTCAGGAATAAACGAGGAGCGGGTGATTATATATAAATATACACACGTGTATGTATTATGAGCATTATGTTGCTGTTAATATTAAACTTTCTGCTTGAGTCCACACAGACGAGTGTGTATTTGCGCGAGTGTGTTTACGTGTGTTTGTGTCATTAAGCTGCAAACATATTCCTCTCTCTGTCCATCTGGGAGCGTCAGACAGTTTCGTTGTTTTCTTCAGGGTGGATTATTTGTCAAGTTAATTTTTTTCTTTTGGGCTGTTTTTTTTTTTTGTAAAGCTTACAGTTTGTTAAATTAGGGCCTCCAGCAACAATAAAAAGAGGAAAAACTGTATCCGTGTGCTTTGTGTTTGTTTAAAAAGCTTTCAGGTCATTGAACGGCTCTTATCCACTTTATTTTGCGACGCAAAGTATGCAGTTTCCTACATCGCTGCGCTTCATGCCTCTGGTATCACGATCACTCTCTTCTCACGTAATCAGTTACACGCTAATCAATATTTCATTAACGTTTATTCATTTGCTAAGTAGCCATGTCATTATCACAAATTATACACTTATCTCTCTCAACTGCTCTGCTGATTTAATCTTACTGGAATTAATAATCACGTAAGTCTTTTTGTGGTTGTTGAGGGGAGATTTACAGATTCAGGCATCTAGACATGTACAGTGAGACATCTTTATATACAGGGAAGATTGATCATGGTTTATTATTGATGAAATTAGAAAGATATGGTGTAAGAGGGCTAGCTTATTCATGGTTAAGAAGTTATCTTGAGGATAGATATCAATCTGTTCGCATAAAACATGATTTATTGAAAGTTACTTGTGGTGTACCGCAGGGTTCAGTGTTAGGCCCTAAATGGTTTGTACTGTATATAAATGATATTTGTAATGTGTCTATCCCAGATAGCACATGTACGTCTGCAAGAGGTCTGTTAAAGATCTGGAAAGCTTCTGCTGTGTACAAACATCTGATAGACGTCTCTAAGATGTTTATGATGTAAAACTGACATCTTCTAAACATCTGATAGGAAACGTCCTATAGACGTATTGCAGATGAGCAAACACTCTAAAAAAATACGTCTTGCAGATGTAATGCAGACGTCAAATAGACGTCTGTGATGTATGTGTGCTATCAGGGAAGGTATTGAAAGTTGTATTTGTTGCTGACACAAATTTAGATTGTTCTGTAAAACATTTGGAACGGCTTCTAAATTAACATTTTAAAGAAATTGTTTGATGCTAACAGGTTATTGAATTTTAGCAAAACAGTGTATAATTTTTCATAATCGACAAACTTAATAGTGAAAAGAAATAGGATTAAACATGAACAAATTGAATATGCAAGTAAAATTTTGGGTGTATTGATCAATTATGTTAATTAATAATGTTGAAATCAACTCTAGCATTACATAAAACTAAAAATATATTGAATAAGAGTTAATTAAATATTTTGTATCATTCTCTTATATGTTAATTATTGTGTGGTAGTATGATGAAACAACAAAAATGAACAGAAATCCCGATTGTATCAATTTAATTATAAACGAGCCAACCAATAAATTGTTGTAATAATGTCTGTGGTTTAAGTTCATTCATAGACTCTCTAGTAATTCAGTGTTCGTTGTAATTATTTTCTGCTAATTACTCTTAATATTTATTTTGACGACTTTGGCTATTTTTATCCTCTTAGAAAAAGCGCGCGAGTTGCCGGGCAGATTAGAACATTTGACACAATAATTGAAACCTTTACGATACGTGAAGTAAAATATTAATCAGTATTACTAAACGGTTCTGTTAAATGGTTTTACACCATAAATCATATCCAGTAGCGTTAGTCAGTAATTAACAGCAAGGGTGTAGTAGGTTTGTGGCTGATATTGGTAGCAACATAGCGTCTCTACTAAACTCTGATTAACAGTACTGTAAAGGTTCAGTAGATCATTTACTGGAAACGTGTTTAATTGTTTACAGGGTGGTGAGTGTTGTTCCTCTTCATTGGAGAGAACAGCTCCCTCTAGCGGTGATCAAATACAAGTGCACTTCACAAGTTCATTAAAATACTTCAAATCGACCTGTTTCACAGCGGTGTGTGAATATATAAACATTCGAATGTAGATGTTATTATGTACCACAGAAAAACAGAATTGAAATCCCTGCTTTCTGAGGTAAAACATATGCGCTGACGCGCTCCGGCCAGCAGGAGGCGCCAAAACAACACAAACACTTCTGGAGTTTATAAATGTAGAAACGAGTATTTTGTTTACATAGCTAAGCAGAACAAACAACTCACACACGAGGGTCATTGTAATTATTATTTGGAGATTTAGCAGTGCGAGGCATATATTGGATTCCTTTCAGGAAAACAGGAGGCAGCAGTGTTTTGAAATTACACAAGCACTATATATCTCTTAATATATAGACTGTATTTGACATCTACAAGAGCTATTTTTTTGAGTGTTTGCTCATCTGCAATACATCTACAGGACGCTTCCTATCAGATGTCAAATAGACGCTTAGAAGATGTTTATGATGTAAAACTGACATCTTAGAGACGTCTATCAGATGTTTGTTCACAGCAGATGTTTTCAGATCTTTAACAGACGCACCTGTGATATCTGGGTAGTATATGTAACTTGAAAGCGCTGTGTATTTGTAGTTCTGTTAACAATAGAACAAATCCAGCAAACACAGAGCATCCTCCTTCCTGCTTGGGAACCCAATAAGAACGTTCTCTCCAGGATAACCAAAAACTAACGTTCCCAGAACGTTCTGAAAACCAAAAATGAGTCTTTAACACAGTTCTCCTCTCAGTAAAATGACCTGATGTTCCTCTCCAGAGCAGATATTTCATCTGAAAGCGTACCACTGGCCGGGGGTTTTGGGGCAGTTGCAGCTGCCCTTTTAAGATCTGCCCCCACTGCGTCCCCAGGACACCCCCACCTCCCCCCCTCTCTCTCTCCCGGCGCTGTGAATCAGGTTTATGTTAATGACTCCCCTCCCCAGACTCGATCCGCGTTCACTGGAGGTGTGTGTGAGTGTGTGAGCAGTGCGTGGATCAGCATGGAGACTCCACACGCCAACTCTGAGGGGAAAAACTGGATTTAATTCATTCGCCGTGGAGGAGCAGCACCGAGGAGCGATGAAGCGGGATTTGTTGCTCTTTGTTTTCGGGTGGTTCAAACTCCCGTGGCTGCTGGATTGTTTGGTTGTTCATGTGAGTGAGGATGCGGGACTGGGCACCGCGATCGCCGGTCTGGAGGGAAGCTCCGCTTGCGCGCTGGAGCAGCTCATCCTGCCGCGCTTCGCGGAGAGTTTCCTGCGCCCGGACGCGGGTGTGCTGACCCTCTCGGGCGCTTTGAACTGCGACGCGGTTCTTTTGAACCCGTTTAGTGTGTACGCGGTCGTGGACTGTGCTGATAACGCGTCGGGTTTCAGACACCTTGTAACCAGCCAGTATGACGTGCACGTTCACGGGAAGAACTGCGCGAGGGTACGCAAACGGGAAGAAAAACTGGATGTGGAGATTATAAGTTTGATAGACACTTCTGAGTGCCTTGAGGCGGACACTGCTGTTTTCCGGGTGTTTGATGTGTTACCGGGCAACCCGACGCGCTGTAATGTAACCGGGACTTCAGCGCTTTATATCTCCAACGGGCTGCTGTGTACTTCTGCTCCGCTGTGTTTCACTCGCGACTCATTGCTGGAGTTTCAACTGCGCTGCGTGGGACGCGAAAGAAGCGCACGTTCTGGTCTCGCGCATGCGCAGTGGCGCGTGGGCCGCGGCCCGTTCACGCAAACACACCTGAGGAAGTTACTGCAGCGGGCCGCGGGTTCGAACTCGGGTCTGCTGAGCAGGAGGAAGAGGAATGTCAACAATAACCCTCAGTTTCAACCTCCCATGTATCAGGTGTCCGTTCCAGAGAATCAACCAGCAGGGACTTTTGTTGTTGTTTTAAAAGCAGTTGACCCGGATGAGGGTGAAGCTGGTAGGCTGGAATATTTCTTAGAGGCATTGTTTGATAGTCGCTCCAACAATCTCTTCGCCGTCGACCCATCAAGCGGAGTCGTTTCCACCGTGGAGATACTAGACAGAGAAACAAAGGACACGCATGTGTTCAGGGTCACGGCGGTTGATCATGGAACGCCACGACGTACAGCCATGGCCACTCTTACCGTAACAGTCAGGGATACGAACGATCACGACCCCGTATTTGAGCAGCAGGACTATAAAGAGAGCGTGAGAGAAAATCTGGAGATTGGTTACGAGGTTCTAACTGTGCGCGCCACGGATGGCGACGCTCCCGTTAACGGAAACATCCTTTATCATTTGCTGAACAACAACAATGAGACTAACGATGTTTTTGAGATCGATTCCCGGTGGTGAGAACGCTCGAATCACATACTTCATGGACGACAGCATCCCACAGTTTAACATCGATTCGGACAGCGGTGCAGTGACCACGCAAATGGAGCTGGACTACGAAGATCAAGTTTCCTACACGCTCGCAATTACAGCTCGAGACAACGGCATCCCGCAGAAATCCGACACCACTTACTTGGAGATCCTGGTGAACGACGTGAACGACAACTCGCCCGTGTTCCTTCGCGACCTCTACTTGGGCTCAGTCATGGAGGACATTCCCACGTTCACCAGCGTCCTGCAGGTGTCCGCGACCGACCGAGACTCGGGCCTCAACGGACGCGTCTTCTACACGTTCCAAGGCGGAGAAGACGGAGACGGAGACTTCATCATCGAGTCCACTTCTGGGATCGTACGAACCCTGCGACGTCTTGACCGAGAAAACACGCCCATTTATAACCTCCAAGCCTTCGCGGTGGATAAAGGTGTTAACGCTCAAATCATGTACCAGATCGTCGAAGGCAACATCCCTGAGGTCTTCCAACTGGACATCTTCTCCGGCGAGCTCACCGCTCTGACCGACCTCGACTACGAGACGCGTTCGGAGTATATCATCGTAGTTCAAGCCACGTCTGCGCCGCTGGTCAGCAGAGCCACGGTCCACATCAAACTCATCGACAAGAACGACAACGTCCCCGTCCTCAAGAACTTCCAGATTATATTTAACAACTACGTAACCGATAAGACCAACAGCTTCCCGTCGGGTGTGATCGGCCGGATCCCGGCTCACGACCCGGACATCTCCGATCAGCTCCACTACAGCTTCCAGGCTGGAAACGAGCTGAATTTGGTGCTTCTGAACCAGAGCACCGGAGAGATCCGACTCAGCCGAGCCCTGGACAGCAACAGACCGCTGGAGGCGTCCATGAAGATCTCCGTCTCGGGTAAGAACCTGTTTCGGCTCTTTCAATGTGCTTGTTTAGCGGTTTTGTAGGACTGAGCGCTTGCGTGACATCTGTGCATTTGTAGGTCGACGGTGATGTATAATACATGACCTTTGCTCCGAGATGCAGTGGCTCGGTATTAATAAATGAGCGAGTGAATGCGCTGAGGGACACGGATGTTGGTTTAGCAGATCTGTCTCCATTTCCTTCAGGTTATTTGACATTGAAGCAGATCCAGTGTAGTGCACATTAACTGCTAGTCATGAATATACAGTGGTCGGTCTTCACGTGATTGCGTGACTGTGGCCTGATGGACGGCCGCCGGAGAAACACGCTCGGCTGCATTCATGATTTTAGTTTGTTCTGACAGAAAAGATGCATTACAGGCCAATTAATATGAGACAAAACTGCAGGAATAGGTCTGATTTGTAGAGTTTTAATGGTGCTGACAGAAATGTTCACTCAGTCAGTGATGTTTAAACATGTTCAGACCAAGTTTTACTCTGTATCTTACAGGGTTCAATAGAAAGGATGCTTTGTACTTGATTTGTTTCGCCAACATTTACATATTAAAAAAAATAATAATAATAATACATATATATACTGTATATATATATATATATATATATATACATATGTGTGTGTGTAAAAGATGTAAGACATCAAAAACTGGTGCAGTGGATCCACTGGCCCTCTGAGGCCCCAGGCATCAGGACATCCTTATTGTTGAGCCCTGCTTTACATGCAGTTCAGCGCTTCAACTGTTCTTTGTGTCTGTGAGGGTCAAAGGTCAGATGGCCAGTGCAGATCATCTTAGCATAGCTGTAAGAGTGGTTAGCGGCCGTTAGCCCAGCGCCATGACTTGTTTTTCTAGCGTTGAGCCCCGAGAGCATCTTTAATGAAAGAGGAAGAGCCCCTAGTGACACATGAGCGTGTGTGTGTGCGATTATAGATCGATTCATATGTGTGTAACAGCTGCTGCTGCGTCTCAGCCAATCAGAGAGCAGCACTCAGCGCTCGCATCACACCTGCTGAGAGAGAGATAAAATACTGCTGCTTTGTTTCAGACTGATGAATTTTAAAGTCTTGTCTTCTGTCTTTCTGCTGATGGGAATCGTTTTGATTGTTCTGATTAATGCAGTCAGGGCTCTATTATTATGAGATGCGCTACTTAGGCAGCAAATATTATAATATGGTCTAGTAAGATAACTAGCAGATTGATACACATTTTAAATATGTATTTTATTTTAAATAAAATTACGCATCTATCTATCTATCTATGTTAATTTATTTTTGTATGTTATATAATATAACGCACATACTGTATAATACATATAAAGCTGTTTTTACTTTGCAGTCATTTCTGATATATGTGTGGTCAGTTTTGAGCTTCAGTTTTGACTAGATTGATATTTTTTACAAGTACTTTTAATTCAGTCAGTAAATAAGAGTACATTTTAATAGAAATTTTAAATGCGATGAAAAACTACAGTAAACAAATCCGTAAATGAATGATTGTTTTTAATCATTTTACAGCCCTTGTTTTTATTTAAAAACAAAAGTGTTTGATGCAAAACAAACATGATGTAAATCTAAAAGATGTTGTGGAAAAAGTTGATGTTAAAATGTGTGCAAATTAGAGACACAAGAATATTGATGGGGATAAAATGTTTCTCACAGGGCAAGTGTTGTTTTTATACTGTTCTAGTGTATAAAGTATATTTAAGTTTTAGTCATTTTATGTTTTGTGCTTTTATTAGTATTTAAAAATATTTTTATTTCAATTAGTTGCTATGGCAACATTTCACATTTAAAAATTTTTTTTTTTTTTACGTTTTAAATACAATATTTATATTTTATCTCATATAACTTAACAAAAATTATTTTTAAGTTTTTGTTTTAGTTAAGAAATGACTCATTGAAGAAAATTTTTTGAAAACGTTTGTTATAATGGTGTTTGGTTTAGGTTTGCGGTGTTTCAGTCAGTGTTTGTGCTGTGGTTGTTTTGTGTGTTTGCGGTTCAGATGATCATGTTTCCAGCATCTGTTTGACAGATTATGAGATGCTGATGTGTCTTTTCTCTGCTGCTGTAAATCTTCAGGGTAAATAGCAGTAAAGCCTTCGCTGATCAAACGCTGAGACGGGATTTGTGTTCATGAGCGTTACGCTAGATATTTAGATATTCAGTGTTCATTGCTCTTCTATGAGTCTTAAAAGTATTCAAAACGACAGATTATCATGTGGGGCAAACACTTTTTCACAGCTCTGTATTTCTACTGAACATTGAAGTGAGACACCAGAAAGAGTAGATCATAGATCCCTGAAGATCTGTGAAGGCCGTGGGTTCCTGCTGAAGGTTCTGGGTTCAGATGTTCCAGTGGTTGGTTCTGGTTCTGATGTCGGTCAGGTGTGTTTGTGTAACTGAAGTCGTCTACTCTCACTACACAACGCTTTGAACTGCAGAAACATGACACTTCTGAAAGGAACACACTTGTCTTGAAGTTCTCGTAGATGTTGTTAGTTCTCAGACAGTTTAGTTTGTGAACGTTTTAATCTCATTATAAAACAGATTGTCTTCAAGTCCTTCTGAGAAGTTACTTTATGGGCTTGAATTTTAATAATAATTATAATAGTAACTATAATCAGAACTGTAACAAAAACTATGACGATAACTATATTAGTGTCCACACCAGCAGATGATAATATTCTGTTTATTATAAGCGCGCTGAGGTTTTTTTGTCTGTCGCTTTAAACGCTCAAGTTTATTAAAGCGGGATGGATTCTGATTGGGTGCCAGTGCTTTTATCGTTCATCAGCTGGAAAAAAACGCTCAGAAAGGGATTCTAACAATATCGTTCCTCTGTTGTTTTCGTTATAGTTGTGGTGTGGATTTCACTATTCTCATAGTTAGAGCGATTATTAGAACTGTATGGTTATATATCGTTATAGTTATCAGTATAGGTAACGTTATAGTTGTGGTGTGGACTTCGCTATTCTCATAGAGCAATTATTAGAACTGTATGGTTATATATCGTTATAGTTATCGGTATAGTTAACGTTATAGTTGTGGTGTGGATTTCACTATTCTCATAGTTAGAGCGATTATTAGGACTGTATGGTTATATATCGTTATATTTATCAGTATAGTTAACGTTATAGTTGTGGTGTGGACTTCGCTATTCTCATAGAGCGATTATTAGTACTGTATGTATGGTTATCGTT